TTTTGACTGTCGGGATTTTTTTGTCGGGATTATGACCTGTCGGGATTGTGCTTGTCGGGATTTTGACCGGCACCCCATTTTTAGCAATGTAAATAAATGTAAGGGAACCTAATCGAAGCTCGGAAAGGTTATAATACCAAACACATAACACATTTTTGATAATTTACTTTATTACAAAAAGCTGTCTATATTAATATAGTGTAACATAAGCGGATAATTATGTTTTCATTTTACACAAAAAAATAAAAATGAAAAAAAAAAACTCGGAGATAAGTATCCGTTTCAACAGATAAAAAATATATAAAGTACATTGCTACATCCTGGTGCTTTTGAACTTAATGATATAAAAATATATAAAATATAAAAATAAAATAAATAATAAACCATATATAATGACACTTTCAATAACTATAAAATATATTTAACAAAATTTCCATCCAAAAAGATTTGTTTAATTTTTAATGCCGTCCAGAATCTTTCTCTTTTGGTAGTGCCTTCGTAAACTATCTATTTATATACGCGTGCGGATTATTCAATATATAAAGATTGTTATTAATCGTAAATACATTTTATATATTTTTAAAATATATAAGTGTTTGCGTACACATACGTACTGTATATTTAATATCTAATGTTGAATGAGACTTAAGCGAATCCATTATACATATTTGCAGTATTCCGTGTTGTTCTCTTGATTGTCTCCAAAATAATCTATCGTATATGATATAAAATGTAAAAATATCAATAAAAAGAATACATGATTTGAAATAGCATAGCTCACAACCTAAATACCACATGGGACCATCAAATGAACAAATAAAACATATAAAATGTATTATTAATCAACTTTGTGGTATTATATGTACTACCAACATATATTTAGGTGATGGGTTATACTACATTTGATCCTTCAAAGTTAATATACTAGAAAACCTGTGGAAGGTCCTAAGCCGGCAATTGATAACGGATCATTTGAAAATGACATTAATAACTGATCTAAAACTGATGGATCTAAAGCTGACGGATCTAAAACTGTACATATAATAAGTATGTGATAAACGTAAGAATATTGACAAATCAGTAAAGAAAGAAAAGAATATTAAAGGTAAGTTTTTTAAATCATACGCACATATAACGTCTGTACCAGAATCGGTTGTGTAAGGAAATTCGTTTATATCAATTTTTTTGTTAATGTTATAGTCATCATAGTGTTGGTCGGCCTGTTCGGTCACAG